CCTTTTTTTCTACTTATCTTAAAGGCCTTTTCCTATAGATTTGTTCTATGTGATTGCATAATATTCCACTGTGCTCTTGTTTTTATATCCAGCTGTAGCCTAAATCATTGATTCCTGAGGTAAGATGATCAGAACTGATACTATTTTCCCTGAGAGTGACCAACCATTATAATTACTATTTTAACATTTATCTTAAGTAAAGCTTCTCCTCATCTAACTAAAATTACCTAAAGCTAGCATTAAAAATTTGCTAACATTTTCAAGGTGTTTCACTACTAATATAAATTACTAGAGTGTTACAATTTAATGCTGATCAAACAAACATATATTAGACTTGTATTACATGTTTTACATTACACTAAGTACCTCCTAGGTGGCATAAAGAAGGTAAGAGGAGGTCATTCATAAATTATGCAGACCACAATTAATTATTTCCTTTATTTTGGCAATAAAGTGCTAACATAAACCTGTTTTGTTTTAATTAAACTAAGCACTGAATAGGCAGTGCAGCTTTTAGAGCAGTGCTTCTCAAAGTGTGGTCTTTGGACCAGTACTAGTCCACAGCCTGTTGTCAGTTTGTACTGCTAAGCACACGACTAGATTCAGTTGACATTTTCATCCAAGGCTTTTTTGATGAAGGGGTCTGTGCACTGATTGACCTTTTTCTTGTCACGGACCAAAAATGAACAATCTGCAGATGGACTATTTTGAGTTCCACTGGCTTGAAGGCCACAGGCCTTTGCAGTTTCCCATTCCTGAATTTGGATACTGGCTTTGCCACTTACCAGTAATGATAATACTGGATTCAAAAATGATAATACCAGCATTTCAGTGTCTTTTCAGATAATACTGGCAATATCAGTGTACATCCTGATAATTTTATTTAAAAATGAGATATGGCTGCATTGTTTTTTACACTTATTCCACAGATGCACAGAAGTGCACCTTTCTTAGCATTAAACTATTAATGCAGCATATAACTCTCCACATATATCAAGAGACAGAAAAAATACAGATTTTAGATTTTTTAATTTAAAAAAATTTTGAAGTTTTAGAAATTGAAATAACTGTATTGTACCAATAAAAATGCTAGTATTTCAATATTTAAAAGAGCATGATATGTTTGGTATTGTCATCACCACTATGTGACTCTGAATGGGTTATTTTACCTTTCTAAATCTTAGTTTCCTCATTAATAAAATAGGGTAAAAATGCCCACTTCAAAGCATTAAATAATGATTAAATAATACATGTAAAACATATGGTATGTATATGGCACTTTGTAGATACCCAATAAGTGGTAACTACCATCTTCCTCAACTTCCTTATCATCCTCATCCCCATCAATAGTGCATGGATATGTCAAAGGCACAGAAATTTCTAAAACTACATGTCTTGTTTCCATCCTCTGCTATATCAGATGTTTCTTTTGAAGTTAAGTTCTATACCTTTCCTTTCCTTTCCTTTCCTTATCAATGCTGTTAGCAGAAAAGGATATGCAGCAGGAAACATGGAAAATATGGAAAGACATGATAATTCACAAACTCTTAATAATCTTTAATCTTTTAATCTCAACCATTTCAGTTGTGTGAGATGTAGGAAATATAAAAATAACCCTTGCTAAATCCATAAACAAGGCTCAAACTACAGATGTACATGATAAATATAATAACTTACTTACAAAAACAATAGTTTTGGTTATTGAGTATAAAAATTACAATCAGAACTGAAGCTAGTATATAAACCTATTAAATTATAATTAAAATTTCACAATAAACACAAAGGAAAAATCTTAATTGTTTTATTCTAGTAATGGTTTGTTAAAATGAGTATTTGTTAGACATCCCAGCCTTAATTTAAAGGGTCAAGAAGTAAAAAAATATTGATCCCAAGCCACTTGGAGGTAAATTCCAAAGGGGAACTAAGTATTTTGAAGGAAAATGGAAGGCATGACATAGATAATCACCATGTTCTCCTTTAAGCATTTCAACCATTCAAGTCATATTAATATTATTTTAACTTGGTGTTGACTTGAGAGGCTACTTAGGTAACAACTTTTAGTGGAAATATCCAGATATTTGAGGTAGCATTCAGAACCCTAGGAGGGACTTTTTTGGCCTGTTCACCTCTGCATCTGCACCTAGAATAGGACCTGGCACATTGGATGTGTAAAGTAAACATTTATCTGTTGACAGAAAATAATGGTGGTACAGGTCCCCCGACAAAAATGCTCTGAATAGGTTAACAACTCAATTTTAGCTATAATGAAAACAATATGAATAGGTTTCTATAATATGGAAGCAAGAGATCATGAGATGGAAAGAACTAGAAAAGGCATCCCAGAAAGTTCATTATGATCAGACTGACAAAGCACTGTGACTATCCCCAAAGAATCTGGAAATGGCTTCATTATACAAAATCACTCTGTAATGAAATATTTCTCATAGAATAGAATTTTTAACTGTAGCTATTTCTGAAGTTATAGCTAAATCCAGCCATTAGGAAATTAAGGATGAGTTGTAGTAGTCAATAGTATTAACCTTTCTTAACCCAATCAATCAGTGATGGTTTCAGAAAACTGTCTGAAATAGTTCCTATTTGTTGAGTGTCTACAAAGTGCCATATCTGTACCAGATATTTTATATGTATCATTTAACCATTATTTAATCTTTCATCCTTCAGAAAAGGACACTATTTCTGTGGTTACCTTTATTTCTTACCATGTGGTTTCTGATATGAAGATTAAAATAATATACTTCTTGAATGAAGAAACATAGTACATAGATTGTAAAATATATAAACCAACCAGCACACTGCAAAAGACAAGTTGCCATCCAGTTTCTTTTGCTGGGCTGGTAAAAACTGAAACTCACTTCTTTCCTAACTCAGTACAAGAAGCCTCAAAAGCAGGAAAGCTTAAATAAGTTTTCTCAATTACATTTTAAAAATTACCTGGACTCTCAACTTTGCAGCATCCATCTTTTTACGGAACTCTTTCTGTAATTTTACCTTCAAAGCAACATCAGAAAGACCTTTGTTTTCCAGCTCCTGTAGCTGCTTTTGTGTTTCATTTAGTTCCTCTTTCGCCTGTTCTGCATCATGCTCTAGTTTTGTTACTTTCAGAGAATACTGTTTGCTTACAGACTTGGCATCGTTACCTTAACCATAATAATAGTAAGAACAATTATAAATTACGTAAAAAAACTAAAACATCAAAAATGTAAAAACGCTCTACTCTAAATAAAAATCCAGCCGGGCAGTGTTATCCTTCAAGGCACAGCATTAAAAATCCAGTCCCCCTAACCCACGCCCCCACCACCAATCAAACACAGGTTGCCACCAGGCCTCTTAATGATTAATTACTTAATGATTGTTCCCATCTGCTGCCATTCGGTCTTCTCATTAGTTCATCTTTTGTGTTTTAGTGTGACATTTCTGAGCTTCTGGATTTGCAATTGGGCTTTGTTGGCATCAAATTCAGTTAAGAAGAATATTTGGAGTAAGAGGGAATTTTTGCCCTCTTACTTAGTACACTTTGGCTTCCTGCTACCTATAATCGGTCTCCCTGAATTCTTTTTTGAAAAAGTATGAAAAACTTTGAACAAAAGAAATAATAAAATCAACTCCCATCACCCAGATTTGAGAGTTATCAAGACTTTGTCACAGCTGCTTCAAATATGCCTTATTTTGGCTGAGTGTGGTGGCTCACATCTGTAATCTCAGCACTTTGAGAGGCCAAGACTGGAGGACAGCTTGAAGCCAGGAGTTCGAAACCAGCCTGGGCAACACAGTGAGATCCCCATCTCTACAAAAAATTTAAAAATTAGCCAGGTATAGTGGCA